AAAGAAGAAAAAAAATGTAAAAGTTCTACAATTTTATGTTCGACTGCAGTTACAAAGAATGACTGATGATCATAAATTGCTAACTCATATTTTGGTGAGTGCATGATCTGAGTTTAGAGGCTGAATTCAAGTATTTCTCCAAATTATTTTTCCATCACATTTCATCTGATACAACAGTGTAACTCTTTAACCTCGTGCAGCTTTCTGTTGTGCTACCTCTAAGAGCATCCCATTAAAACTGGTAAACGCTTGCAGATGGTTGGGGGGGGGTCACCTAGTCAAGCAGTCCCGTCTTCACACAGCACAGGTGTGACCGGGGCTGCAACAGACCCATCTGTATCTCAGCACGAATAAATGGTGCATAGCAGTTATCCACGCTAATGAACACAGAGCGAAACTGCCATCTGAAATATGCAGGTCCCAAACCTGTGCTCTCTCCAGTCTTCTCTTTACAATAGAAATGGACCTTGAATCCCAAAGGATTAGTTAATTCAAATCAGTAACATTGTCTTCAGTAACACAGTACGAAAAACCCACAGGTGACTACATCCAATACACACTGCATGAAAAACATTGAAACACATTAAAATTCTCTTACTGAGTCAAGGAAATTAATGTGAATAATAGCACTGCTCTTTCCCTAGACATGATCCGTCAGAGCAGAGCCGTCTGACCTACTTTTCATTATGACTTTTTTTTTTCTGACAAAACGACTTTAGTTGGTAATTGCTGGATAACTCTTTTATGTCAACTTTCATTAAAGGAAAATAGAATTAAGTTCATAGATCATTAAACTGATTGCAACTGAGAAACTGTGAGTATTGATTGTGACTTCTAGAATAGGCCTTATAAGTCTCTGAGGTTTTTAAAGTATTGACTATTTTTTAGTGCAAAACCACTACAAGACAGAGCACATTCAGGAGATCTGAGACTATCCTTTCATTTCTTCTTTTTTGTTTTAAATGCATATAATTCTTTAGCATTTTGTATGGTTGCAATTGGCATACGGCTAATGCAGTTAGTAATCACGGCCGTTTCAGGCAGCTTTCTGTGATTACTTTCGGTCAGACAGAGACAAAAGACATGAATCATCTGAAATGCGCAAGGTGCCCTGATATCAGTTGTTTTGCCCAAGTTCTCATTTCCTCAAATCTGAATCTCAATGGAGATGGCAAGTGTTAGAGCAAGTTATACTGTAGAGCCAAAATAAACTAGAATTTGACACTAAATCCAGTTTTTTTTAGTTGACTGTACGGTCACTTTCCCAATGTTAAGTAGGTTTTGTTTTGCTTTTTTTTTTAACTGAGAAAAATCAGCAATGCAGCCATTGACCGATGATACATTGATTTAAAAATCAACTCTCAGCATTGTGGGGAGTTTCAAATAACAATTTGCAAAGACATCAGGAGTTTAAGAGTATGGGACCAAGCGAAGCAGCTGACAGTGTAGAACTGCAGTACGTATTTGAAGCAAATGTACATGCCTTGCATTCCTTTCCTGTCAATTTTCTTCCTTTTTTTTCTGATGCCCCTTGATAAGGGGTGCTAGCGTATCAAACTAATATGGCTGCAGAACATGTCAGTTTTGGAAAATGATCAGGGAGCATTTTCTAGCTCTTTAATGTCTATTGTCAGAAGGAAAGATTAGTCGTGTCCATCATCGTCACCTCTACATCCGCAGATTGGCTATTACCACGCCCCGCTTTCTAATGAGCCTTGCTGCTTTGCTTCATCTTTTACGCCAGTTATCTCAACCCCTCCACGTCCCGTGGCTTCACAATGGCAGCATGGCCTTTAGCTATAAAAAGAGGTTTACTTTTTCTTCTTTTTTTGTTACACATGCCCCTCCTCTCTCCCCTAGTGCCATCCTTTGAGGCAAATGTCAGCTAATTAAGGGTTACATGGTCGACCTTTCTCACCCCCACCTGGGCCCGCACCACTCGATCCTCCACACAAAACACAGGTCAGTGTGGCCTCTGATATGCTAAATATTGCTGGGCTCCTACAGGGCAGTGGACTTAATTAGAGGAGACACTTGCTGTCTAATACTGAGGATGCACAATGAGTCTGCCACAAAGATGATGTGTGTCTGTTACAGTGCTACAGTCTCCAACCTGTTGTGATTCGCCAATACACATTAATGTCCTCTTGAATGTCCCAACTATTGCCCATTCTACCTACATTGTGTATTATGTTATTAAAACAAACATTCTGAAACCCCCTGCTAGCCTGATTGCAAATCAAGTCAAATGTTGAGAGTAGAACATTGACCTCACAAACCCTGGTAATAAACTCAAAAATAGGTACTTCTCAAATGTCTTAATTCTGCAATGTAGATGTTAATCTCAGGGTGTGGTAGTTCTCAAAACGAGTGCTGCATTTGACCATCATGCACAAGTGGAACATTTGATACGGCCGCTGAATATTGAATATCGTCTCTCCAGTTCAAAGCATCTTTAGAGCTGTGGGGATACGTTCCAGAGACTAGAGAACAGAGAGAAACCGAGAACACACTGTGCCCTTCCACTCTTTTTTCGGTCTGCAGCTTAACACATGCATCAAGAAACAGACTGTTTGGATGAAAAAAAACCTGTCTTAGGAGAGGATGGCAGTTTTGAGAATCTGACACTGCACGATACTTTTACGTTTGTGTGGATGCGCGTACCTGCCTGTGTGTGCGAGAGTCTATGTTTCTGTGTGTAAATGGGCAGTGGTGGGGGCCAAACGTATGTAAGCACGTTATTAGGAATTAATCTAATTGGCACAGACAATGTCATGAAAGTGAGAGAAAGTGTCAAGGACAGATACAGATCAGTGAAAATGATGAGAAAGAAATGAATAATTTCGCTTTGAATTAAAAATAAATGGCCAGGAGGGATGTCATTGGGCACCGAACTGTTCTTTGAAGTGGCTGACTGTCATCAAGGACATTGGTATTATCGCTCGTGCCTTTGTGACTCTGTCTAACAAATTTGGGAATCCGCAGTCTGTGTTGCTCTGACATCTGTTGTCAAAATGACTTCTCTCTATAAATTCCCTTTCAATGGTTCCAATACAGAGCAGAGTAGTTTATAAGCCATAGTGCATTACTGTCATGAGAAGAAAGGGTGATTCAGCGAGGAGAGCATTTATCAACAAATGTGTGTCAACAAGACAACAACAACAAGAGACATGAGTGGCTGAACGTCACTCAAAAATGCAGTGCAGTGAAAGTACAGTGCATCAGAAGAAAATCTAGGCTGGCAAAAGGCTCATTGTCCTGGCTAAAACAACTACAAATAGACATTAGGTATGTGTTTGTTGGGAAAATCACATCATTGTCATTTCTATGAAAGTAAATAATTGCAGTAGCAGGAAAATACAGCCTGTATTCACTGTAGCCAATTAGGTAGAAGTAAAAAAGATAAGGCCCAAATCCTTTTTTTTGGCACATCCAAATTGTATCCAGATTGATTTTCTGGACAAATCAATGAAAATTTGATTAATGCAAATTGGTTCTAAATCATATTCGGAGGTGTTTTGAAATGCGATTCCAATCAGATCTTTACAGATATGTCTCAGACAGATGCTCTGGTTGCTCCCATCCTGAGCTCTACATCTTTCCACCAGCCAGTACTTTGCACATGGCCCCACACCTCTTTCCGCACAGTGAAGCCCGCCATGAGTGCAGCACGGAACGTCGTATACATTGCATCCTTCTGGATGCCATTAGGATTAATGTGTCATCAGAGCAAAAGAAAAAAAGATAGGTGCAGAAAAACAACCACCGGTTAGAAAATGGGAGTGATGAGGAACAAGCAGAAGCTATGACTTTAGTAAGAGCCTCAGTCTACACCTGTTCCTCTTCTCAGGTGTCTCAGCTACTCCCACAGCTTAATAACCTGCTGTCCAATCTCATCTCCATCTGTTTTCGTCACACACCTGGTACAGTGTTGCATGAGAGTGCCATTTTAAAGTTTATATCTGGGTGTATTGTATGTCAACTTTTGTCACATACTGAAGTGAAATGACTCACCACAATAGTGAGTCAGCCTACTTCATCTCTGGGAAGCTTTTACGTTTGATGATATGTTCACATAGTTTTGGGTATTACTCTGACACACAGGAAGTGTTATGTTGTGAGACTTCAGCAGCAGAAAACAGGGGCTTGTGTAGAATAGGTGGAGGAAGAACAGGATAACTGATATGAGCAATGTAACCTCCCTGGCAGGACAAAGAGGAGAGTGCCACCTACAGAAACTCAAGCGTCATCAGCAGTAATGAGACATCCGACTACCACCCACACGGTTTTATTTACAGGTGGACTGTGGGGGTGCTGAAACACCGTTTGCTTTTTCACTTTTTACAACAAATTAAAGTCAAGGATCTTGTAGAATACCACTGGAAAGCTCATTTTTTGTGCCCTGGTTGATCAACTAATAACATAATCGCATTATTACATACCCACAGACATGGCATTGCAATGTAGCATCATACTAAATACTCTAGAATCTGTTTTGGGTCATGAGAAAATGTAAAGAAGACTAGACTGGGCTTCTAGGTTTAAGCTTGATACATATCAGGAGTTTAAACAGGACGTAATGAAGCCGGGGCGAGACACACGCGGTAGAAAATGACGTTATCACGGCCGGTGCGCTTGGTCATGCACCTCAAAATTTTTGCAAGTTGGCGATTTTGCATGCTCAGAGCTCGTGGTAAAGTGCCAAGTGAAAGTATAAACAAAGCTTTAGGTGGTAAAGATGTTTTAGCAAATGACACTTAACTGTCTTTTTTTATATTCTTACTCAACGTATTTTATTTACAGTAACAATTGTTGCCTAAAGACTCTGGCACTAACTGTATTCAGATTCAGAAAATCCCACGACTGCTTGTTCTCTAAACAATACTGCAAATTAGAATTTTAAATATTTGCACAGAAATGACATGCATCTGTTCCTGATTTTACTCACTACACAAAAAGACATACTAATTCCACTGTACTGTTTGTGTTTTCCCTTCCAGAGACATCAAACCTGACAATATACTACTGGATGAACATGGTAAGATCCCTTTCCTAATTATTATATTTCCATTTATTCATATGGAGTTGAGGGGTTGGAATTTAAAGTCCAGCACAATTTGGTTTAGTTTTTGTAATTGTGTATTGTGAATGGTAATAACATTTAACATGGTGACCTGACTTGACATAGCATCCCAAATTCAAGACTTAACAGCGTCTGGCTGAGGATTTCACCTTACCTCAGACCTCTGGATCACTTCTGCACAGATCAAAAGGAGCAATGCTCAGAGGCAGGTTTCACAGTCGGTGCCTAGATAGGCCTTGCAGCATGAAGTAAAAAAAAGCATCCAATACCTTGTTTTAACAAGTGCAACATAGAGGAGGAGTGCACAAGTGAATTTTTATTTTCTGTCCACACTATGCCAGACTGCGTTGGTTGAAGCACTGTGACATTAACACGGTGTTCTTTCTCTCTGAAATAAGATGGAGTGATGTCATAGGACTGTGGAGGACGGGGTGATATTAATGATGCCTCCTTCGCTGCCTGTTCTGAATGATTGATCAAGTCTCATAGGCTTTAGTGTTTCAGTGTGACACAAATAGACATACACAAATCCACACACACACATACAATGACTAAAGAGACAGAGAGAGCAGTATGTGTGTGTACATGTCAGAGGGAGGGGTGCCATTGTAAATAAAGGCGGCAAAAGACTGTAAATGCCTTCATCAATATGTCAATCAAGAATATTAAAGTGCTTCATGTTATGATCCATCCTCGAGAAACACACAGACATCAGATGGTACAGTATTTACATATACACTACCTGGCCAAAAGAATGAAGAATAAATCTTTTCAAGCACGATGAAACCCTCTAATTGGCTTTGCTTGGAGTGACACATAATTTGACCTGTTAATTAAATAAGTCCATGACGCAAGGTCAAAAAGATAGGTGTATATTGCTCTTCTCAGCTATTTTGTCTTCTTCTCCATACACCAAAATCCAGTCAGAACCAGCTCCAACAAACATATCTCAAGAAATTGAGACACCCCCAAGGTCCTCTAGTCTTTACGACTAGAAAGTGCTGCACACTTTCCCGAAAATGTTAGAACATGATCATGTTGTGTGGTAGTTTTATTCATTAGCTGATTGTAATGTATATACAATATCGTGATATTTAAGTCCTTGAATAATTGACTAACTAACTATATTGTAGCATTCTCCTTAGTTTACACCTAACCATGAAAAACAGACCAAAAGTATCCAGTAACTTTTGGCCATATAGTGTGTACCCACACACACACACACACACACACAAAGTCCTGAGATATTGGAGGGCACTGGGCAGCTGCTAAAGGGCTATGTGGGATGGCAGCCCTCCTGTCGCTACACACTGAAAGCAGACAGAGAGAGAGACACACACACACACACACACAGGGAGAGCCACAAAGATACAACAAGAAAGAGGAAAGTGATGAGCAAACATTTCTGGAGAGAAAGATTTGTCAAAGGAAGAAGATCAGAATAAACAAAGAAAGAAGGAAATATGGGAAGAAGAGTGATAAAGATGGAGACGAAAGAGAAAGGCAGCTTTGTCAGCCTAATCCTGATTTCCACAGGACAGCCGACGTTCACCTGTGCTCTCGCTCTCTCTCTCCCTCTCTCTCTCTCTGTGCGTATCCTTTCAAACTCAACAAGCACTTCTCTCCTGCCCATGCATTCTACCCACACTCTGTTTTCCAATGCAGACCTGTAGTTTACCTCTCCACTTAAGTCTAAAACAAGGGGGGGGGGGTTTGCGTCTGCACACCATGTCAATTTTGCAAGCCTGAATCGTGTTCCTCCTGTGTTCCTCTGGGTGCTGCTTCATAGAGAGAAAAACAATTTACTCACGCATGTGCGATGTTGCTTTATTAAATGGCATCGCCCCAGGATGCTGGGAGAAGCTCCGAGAGGGCCGGTTGTCTGGGTTCTCTGGGTTCTCTGGGAGTGCGTATGCATTCTTCATAAGTAGGCACTACATTGAGAGGCGACATTGTGAGGGGAAACCACAGCTCTGGTGCATATGTCCGCCACGTCATCACCCATGGGACTCTTTGAAAAAGTACAGTATAGGATCTTTCTTGATCAGAAATATCAGTTAAGTGTTTTTAGGAACAGAGTCAGTAAATTCATATTGGAAATGTATAGGAACAATACAAGCCTGCAAGCTAATATGGAGTTGACAATGCACTGGAGAGTGCCGAACTTCTGCTGTGGCTTCATTACTCCTGCTTCGTGAAACAGGCCAATGTAGTTTAAGTCATGTTACATAAAGCTTCTATCTAAAGTGTGTGTAGTGGTGTTTAAAATGACCAACAGACGTCCAGATTGGGACCATTAGTAAACTAATTTGTGTATGAATAAAGAGAAATAAAAAAATAGAACAGATATGCAGCAGCGTGACATAACCTAAGGATCAAACCCGACAGTTGTGGAGGTAATCCTAGCGAAACACATTAGATAACTAAGCCACCAAGTAACCTGCTGAACCATTGTTCATTCACCTCACATTTCAACAACAGTTTTGACTGGTGACAAACGGGAGTTAATCTGATGATTTTAGAGCAAGAGATTATATTCGAATTTTAAAGGAATACTGGCACTCTGGACTGCATGCATTATTTTCACCAAATTTAAGTCTGACCTGTATACTCTTCATTTAGTGCAATGCTTAAAATCCAAAGGGGAAAAAATGCAACGAAGAACTGTGGCTTAAAACAGATCATATTAAAAGCATTGCAACTGCGGTTAATTCAGTCATATACCCAGTTATCCCCAGCATAACATGTCAATAAGATCAAGAGTAGCAGGTACAAGGAAAGTCATTTTAAAGTTAGGCTGCTTTGTTATGTTCACTAATTTAAATATATATTATGTCACGAAGGCTGATTAGCTTCCACTATGTCTCTACAACAGTTAGGTTAGTCACTCTACTATGGAAATTGGTATCTTAAAATAACAGCAACCACATTTTAATATGAAAAAATAGGTACAGCAAACAGCAAAACATGCCCAGTCTCTTCAGGTGTATGTGAGGGGGGATTCAGTTGTCTAAGCACAACCAAGACAGATTGGAGGTCTGAAAGTAGCGATGATGGACAAGCCGATGCTGGTGTCCCTTGAGAGACCCGCAATCCAACACTTGAAAGCTGATGGGACAGTGGATCTGTGTTGGGAATCAGCAAAAAGGTCCAGAAAACCAAAACTAGAAAAAGGGGAGAACGAATGAACAACCAGTGTACTTGCTGGATTCATTTTGAGGGATCAGTGAAGAACATGACAACAGCTGCACTGCTGGTATTTTGTTTACCAGGAACTGAGTGTGAAATGATAACACTCAAGATTCTAATTCTTTAAAGTATCCGATAAAACATAAACTTTTGTCCGTTACTGTATTTAAAGCTTTTATTCTTTTATGTCACATTTCCATCATTAAGCTTATGAATATAGCTGCATAGTTTCTTAATAATAAAAATATAAGGTGACTAAAAATTGGCACATTTTGGCAACCAGTAGCTGATGCCTGGTTGTCAGCATGGCAACCACTTTTAAAAGTCAGTGTTGAGCCCTTAAGCCCCTTTTTTCTCTCCCTGGAATCCACTTTTGATTCACCAGTCAGGACCCACTGTCTATCTCATCCATCCACTGAACCCAGCAATAAGTCCACACTGTGATGACAAAGCTCTGTTACCCCAAAGCAATGCACTGTACATTTTCCATAATGCAGATTTGGAAACTGTGTCATAGCTCATCTCTTAATCTCTCTCTTACCTATGCCAGTTCTCTCTGACTATGACATCACGACACTAACTCGACTCCAAACTACACCTAACTCTCATCATTTCTATAGAAACACTAACAATTATTATTCAAGAGCAAAACCTATATGAGTCTAAAAGCCTCTGCTATTGGACACCAGAGGCCGTTTGGCTCCTTACACCTAACTGGACCAGAGAGGTTTGAACTGATCTCAGAATGACACTTTGGTTACCATGTTCTACATATTATTTTGCAACTAGATACTTTTTTCCATGCAGCCCGAGATTTTGCTGATGGTTATCCGTTTATTCCCGCTGGCTACTGTGTAAAACTCCTGTCCTAAATATGTCTTCTGCAAAGCTAAGAGAGATGAAGACAGAAAAGGGGAAAAAAGGGAGATAAGTACTGTATTTGACAGAGACAGGAGACATCATTAAATATGAAAACATGAAAGAAGCTCGACTCTTACTCAAGCTCCACTTATAGTCTGACGTTTTGCTCCACCTCTGTCAAAGTCATCAGACTGCATTAACAATGGTCCTTTTCTACCTGCAAAGCACCACTCAATCTCCCTTCTGTGCATCTCTACACAGCTAAAGTCATACACTGCAGATTAGAATATGGTATGTGAGAATATTTGGGGGGTAAAAAAGTAAAGCGCTAAAGAAACAGAAAACAGAAATGGGTTTATGGAGGGGAAAAGAAAATGAAAACCTGAATAATTAAGAGGACAGAGGAAAGCTATCATATGGAAGGTAAACAGGAAAAGAGAAGAAGAGGGTGATTAAAAAGGCACACAGAAAGAAAAGGTGTGTTAATAGAGATTGGTGGAAAACATTGAGGGAGGAGTGAGAGAGGGAGAAAAATAAAGGAGGAGAAGAGATTTCTATGTGCACTTCTCTTATCTTTAAAGCGTAAATAAACACAGCTGGCCAGCTTGTGTCTGCTTTGTATTCACACACAGTTACCAGTTTATGGTTGAGATAAAATACATATTTATATATATTTGAACTGTGTACAGTATGGCTGTTTGTTTGTTTTATGGTGGACGTACTGTATGTGTTTGTGAGGTGATTGAGGACGTCCATTCATCCGAACAATCACTCTGCGGCAAAAACTCTCCAGCTCTTTCTCACGCAGTATGACACACACCCATCCACACACACACAGCTCATTAGTGTGTGCTCAGTGTGCATGTTGCAGACTCTGGGCCATCTTGCAGCATGGTGAGACACAGGTCAATGGTTTGACTTTGACTTTAGAAATCATTGAGGTTGCTGCTTAAACACTCACAATATAAACGCACACGTGTTTTATTCCATCAATAAAGCCGCAGTTCATTTGCATTTGATGCCTTTTAATGTCCTCAATGCAATGATTGTAAGTATGCATAAAGGACAAGGCATTATTTCTATTATGTTGTGTATTAAAATCCTTTTGGTCCTCACATAGGCAGCCTATTGGGATACCTGCTCTGTGTAAGCTGTGCTTGGAAAAAGGGAAAAAGCTTCAATGCTTTGGGGAAACAGTTTATAGTTTATATTGATGGCGTAAACAGAGCTCTGTGATCGTATAGCTCTCTGCCACTATAGGATTTATAGGGTTCACACAAGTGAGCATGCGCCATGTCCCTTTGAGGTAATATAACCCCTCTGTTCTACAGGACACGTCCATCTAACAGACTTCAACATCGCAGCCATTGTAAAAGACGACCTAAAAGCAACGTCCATCGCCGGTACCAAGCCGTACATGGGTAAGAAAACTCATTTTTGACTAATGCTTCACAAGAAAACTGTAATACTAGGGACATCAAATAAAGGCCAGAGGAAGCAGTTTGAAACTATTAGCTTTAATTTAGAGAAATTATGGAACGTTATTCATATAAACTCCACAGAGCGCGCTTACGTTCGCTAATCCAAATTCCAAATGACATTGAAGGGATATTAGAGACTAACTTTGGTAAGCCCTGCCTACAGCCTCGATGTGAGGAGACAAGTGCCAACACCCAGCACATGGTACAAATAGAGATTCAGGTTGTAATTCTTACATAAAACCCTTTCTAGAGTAGGTTTGAAAAAACTAAATGAATGATACAAGAGATATTAAATGATTGGTGAAGGAATGAAATATGGATTGAGGGACTCATGCAGAAAAAAACAACACCAGAAATCATTTTTTTACATTTCTGTTTCACCCTTAAAGCCCCAAAAGCCAAGTTCACAGAGTTTGACTTTTGTCAATATCAGCTGCCTGACAGCCAGGAAAAAGATACAGCTAAAGATAAGTGGACGGCTATTGACCAATAAATGGGAGTACTTTGTTGTGAGGTACATAGTGATGGTTTAAAGCTCAGGGAGCTAAATGATCAATTCTGCTGAGGAGACATTTTAAGTGACAAATGATTAGCTTGGATATTTATAATATGGAGACATTACAACCTTTTCTGTGTCTAAATGTGTGCCTAATTGTAAAACAAAGTACCTGTAGTATATTATTCTTTGTTTGATTTGATGCATGAACCCAAAAACTGAGAGTAGTGTTAACATTTTAAAGAAAGTAATGTTGCCTTTAGAAACCAGTATTCATCTTTTCAGCTCCGGTGCAATCGCCCTCCTCATGATTCTTAAGTCCAGTAGTGATCAGGTCGATGAGGATTCAGCTCCTGAGAGATCAGATAGGAGCTTAACAGGATTTCAGGGGGATATGAATGACGAGACCGAGCGTGTTAGCGTGCGCCTGCTTTTATCCTTACAAAGTGTGTGCTCATGATGGAGAATGATCTTGTGTGTGTGTGATTTCAGGTGAATACTCAGTGGTGTGATATATTATTCATGTATCTCTCTGTAGCTTCAGTAGCTAAACTACCTTTTCAGTGAGAGAGCAGAGCAAACCTGCAATAACGACGAGGAGTAGGACATGTGTGTGTTTGTACAGTATGTGTCATGGCAGTCTGGATTTTGACAGTGTAATCCAGATAATGAAGAAAGAAGTGATGAATGATGGAAATTCATCTTAACCATTTGAAACAAGATTACAGCTGAATAATTTTCCCTAGAGTAGATTATTCCTTTTCACTGGAGAGGAAAAATTATTTCTGAGTTTTGATGGCTCGTTCCACCCATAAAACCTGTTTGGTCGATTATTCATCACAAATACATTCTGATGCTACTCTGGCTCCAAATTAGATCCCAATAATTAATACTCGCCTCCGGCAAAAAGAGTGGAATTTAATCATCCCACAACCCCAACAAACCTGAGCTCAACCTCTTCTGTAAAGTCAGCTGTTACAAGACATTTATAACATATACAGCATGTGCTAATCTGTCACACAAACCCCTTTTCAGACATGTTGAGTACGTAAACATGACGGCTAATGTCAAATGTCGGTCTCATGTCTAAATAAGCACCCAAAGATGCGACGGCGGTCTGACTGGGTCAGACCTGCTAACATTACCGAAGCACTTCCAACATTTGCAGTACTCCCTCACTATTATTTCAGTTTGTATTCATGCCAATTGCATCTAATGAGTGATGAAGTTGATGAGAACATTCACGAGGGCATTTGCTGTGAGAAGAGGGAACGAGTGTCCCGCGCAGTGATGATGGTCATTAATTAAAGCTTCAACTGCAAAAGTAGATTTTAGAATCCACCATGATTCAGCTCTTTCTGCAACTATGTTTGAATTAAGCCTTTGTGGAACATTTACGTAATAAAAACCAATGTCTGAATTACAAAAAAGACATGACTTTAATAGGGCTATAGTTAAAATAAACTCTCATTGACTAAAATGTCCAAAAAAACGAGGAATAGGGATCAATAACACACAAACACCAACAAAATATATATTTCTAACCGAGCAAAGATAGTATCACCACACACCATATGTACATTTGATTTTGTTGTATTTTCTGTCTATCAGCTCCCGAGCTGTTCCAAACCTTCGAGGGGTCCCACCCTGGCTACTCCTTCTCTGTCGACTGGTGGTCGCTGGGCATCACAGCATATGAGCTACTCAGAGGACAGGTGACTCCATCTTAACTTCAGCGTGGCCATCTGGCACACTTTACAGCACTGGAAAATACATAATGACACCTACAAGAAGAGTCCTGGCAGTAGGAAAGAAGACATACAGCAAGACCTCAGCCTTCACAAAACAAAAAAGAGGGGGGGTTATAATTGAATTTTAAGCTGACCTTACTGAGAAACACATTTAAATGTTTAGTCACGGTGTGAGACGCATCAGTGCACGAGAATGAGCAAATAGAATTTGAGTTATTTTAAGAGAGAGGAATTGATTTTTTTATATATTACTTATTTAATTTCATGCTGGTTCCCATCTGGAGAAGTTGTATCCCGATGTCATGGAAATGAACACGGGACATAATGCTTTCACTCACTCCCTTCGCTATATAAGGCCGGGTCTTTCGATTTAACAGCGGCTCAGACTGCAGCTGCAGAATTCTACTCTCATATTTCAGAGTGATGATTACAAAACTACAGTAACCTCTGTCTACACTGACAAGGACCCAGAACACCTGAAACTGATCTGGATGCTGTCATTAAGTGTTCCTGAAACCATTTCCTCTATTCAGACATCTCAACGCTCTCCCTTTCACCCTCTTCCATAAAACTGTTGAGTTACTTTACCTCAGAACTTTCCATTTCGCTTTCTAAAACACATTCTGACCCAGTTACATCTTACTCCCACTTGAATATATTTGGAGCTCAAACTTTATCTCACCTCCAAACCTTCCTTGAAGCCTTCTAGAATATGCTCTGTCCTCTCGTTAACCTCAAAGCTACATCCTACCTGCACCGTTTACCTGAAGTCTTCTCTCTTACCTCAAAGCTGTGTCCTGTGTACTTTTAACCTTCACTCATTCAGGTAGAAATTGCTGAGCACACATGTACTCACCCAGAATTCACTTAGAGTGACTTAGACGTGAGCCCCTTTTTCAAAGTTCCTGTATAATCTGCATCTTCTACAAACCCTCTGCTAAACTTTCCTTCACCCCTCTCTCTGCACGCCGCCCTCACACGCTCCTTGAAATGTAATTTTCACTTCATCCCTCTGTCTCCAGGAGACTTTGAGATACACCTTTCTCTGACTGCCATATTACAACATGTGCAGAACTATTTGGCTGTTGAAAACCGAGCGCTAGCTCGCTATTATTCCAGCTCCAGGCACCTTTCGATTCTTTCATTTATCTCTCTCTAAAAACCATATTCATATAAATGACTCACCACTTGTTCACCTTGAATTCTTGAAGAAAAACGTGTTTTGGAAGAAAAACGTGTTTTGGAAGAAAAACATCCGTTTACAAACTCACACACAACTCGTACGGTATAATCCAAGTCTCATTAATGCAGTCGTATGCTCAGGATTTCCCCAAACACATGCATCTCCACCAAAATGTATCTAAAACACTTGAAGCACAGATGAGTAGCGCGGCTGCGCAAGCATGAGATGCAGAAGTGTTACACTGCAGGTCTTGTGTGAGAGTTAGAAAACGGATGTTTTGATATAGTTTTGCTTTTGTTAACCGTGGACCCTATTTACTTCAATTCATCAAGCCGTTGTAATTGACATACAAATGGTTATTTAGTGGGAGAAGGCCCTGTTCAGACCTGGTATTAAGCTCCAACCACATCTTACTTCATCATTTATCTCCTCTCACAGCGACCAGGCTTCCCTGCTGGGCCTGACCACTGGTTGCAGGTACAGATCAAAGCAACTCAGCATCTCTCCAGAGCTGCAAATCAGTCACTGTCACTTAGTGTCTCCACCTTCAGCTTTTATAAATTAGACAACAATTAACCCCAGAGAGGGAACAAAGAGACGCAGGGGTACATTTCCAAAATAGTGCAAATATATTGGACCAATTTTTTGCCTTCTGTCATCTGAAAATCTGACTCTAAAATAATATATAACTGTCTGTCTGACACCTTATGTGTGCCCTGTATGGGGAACATAATTGACACCATGCATCCAAAACAACATGGAATGGAGCGCCTGCAGCGCAGCATGTCGTTCCATCTCTCTCTCCTCTTTCCAGTCCATCAGTCTGAGAGGAGTCTTACTGTCCCGGAAAAAGACCAAGAGGGTGGTAGAAGGATTGGTGTGGAAAAGTGTCAACAAGCTGCCCCCTCTCACTGAAAGCCAAAGGGCTTAAGTTGTTTTGAGAATCGTCCCTTATTCTCTGTTCCTCTATCATTTTGTTCTCAACAGTGCAGGATATGGGTTCACGGAAGGAGAGCAAAAGGAGACGCGTGTAGAGAGGGCCAACTAACTTCGAAACACATACTTTATCAAAGAAACTCCTCCAGGCAGCGCATGGCTATGAATACAAGTATTCTGTAACATGCTGCTCTCCTCTCCTCTTTGCAGAGACCATATGTGATGAGATCCAGTACACCGGCTAATGAGATCCTTCAGACCTTCCACAAGGTCCATCCCAGCTACCCGGCAGCCTGGTCTTTGGAGATGAAGTCTCTACTCAGAAAGGTAAATTATTGGTACTTCTCACATTGATTATGGCAGCTGGCAAAACTCCAATATCACAATACCCCAATGCATAATGACCAGTAAACTGCCAACATCATACCAATTTGACTGGGGTGATCTTGTCCTAAATACAGACAAGAGAGGCAAAGAAGTGATAGTTGATGTGTATCTTTTCTGGGTGGGTTGCTCGTCGGTTTGTATTTTTATTTCCTTATTTACATAAGTAAATAAATCTATGGTGTACTATACAAACGCACATGGCAGCACATACCATGGCACTGAAGAAATAAAGCTATACATGCTCCTTAATAAGAGTTTTTTTCCATTTCAAGTAAATCCCATATTATTACATCTTAACAGTCTATTCTTAATTAAAATTAAGAAGGTGTTGCAATTAAGCCACTTACAAAGCTACCAGATGCACTGTCGCTGTAGCATTTGGGGTTTTGTCTTGGCAGCGATCCACTGCAGTCAAACTGTTGCATTGCTTCGTGCTCAGACTCCTCGTGCCTCATTGGCATTCCAGTCGCATGTGTAAATGTGTGGGAGAGAGAGTGTTTGTGTGTGTGTGTGTGGGAGAAAAAAAGAGAGAGAGAGAGATGTAAAGAAAGTGAGAATGTAAGGGGAGAATTCCATGCTCAATATATTTGTCCTTCACACCTCACAACCCTTTGAATCTTCCTCATCACCATTTGCTTCCTATATGTACCACATTGTCTTTTCATCTCTCCATCCTCTCATGGCCACTCCTCAATATCATCCACCCCTCCCAACCCCTTTGTCCCTGTATCCTCATTCTCAGACACATCATTTAGGGTAAACATGTGCTCCTGTCTCAGTGGCACTCAGCCTCCAACTTTTTCAGCCATGCCTCCCCATGGACAATTGTTCTTACCCTAATCCTTTTGTCTCCCTCAGTTGCTGTGCATAGATGTCCAGAAGCGCATTTCCTGTCTAGCAGAGCTACAGGATCTGGACTACATGTCACATGTCAACTGGGACCCTGTGCTCAGCAAACAGCTTCCTCCCGGCTTTATTCCCAATGTGAGTCTCCGACATAAAGTGATTACTGCCTCAGTATGCTACCCAACAAAATGCTCTGAATACAATTTTTTAGAAAAAAAAGAAAGTGCTGCCAAATGCTTTAAAAACAAAACAACCAACATGACCAAAAATTACTGAATATGCCATCTGTGGATGAATGATGATGCATGATTTTTGCTATTTTCTCACATTCAGAAAAAATACCATCGATCCCTCAAACCCCCTTCATTCTGTTCTCTCACAGCTATTCCCATAACAGTATATCTCCCGAAGGGGACAAAGATGCAGGGGGGGAGACTTAAGTCTGAACTACCAACTCCTTATCTAATCCTTTCTAGCGGAGCTGTAGACACCACCCTCTGCTGGGCTGAGCTGGATCTCCCACTGAGTGTGTATTAGACACCCTGATGCAGAGACAGACATAGTAAGCACATGCATACATGCCTCAGGTAGAAAAACATCTACCTGCAGACCTACATGTGGTCTCTGGATCATTATAGTGAAGATGGTGTTGGCGCATAATGCTATCACTAGGCAGGAAGTGTAGCTGCTTGGTTGGCCAACTGACTTTCTCTGTCCTGTCAGGTTTTTACTGAACTGATTCACTGTGCCCTGTTTCAAAGCTGGTAGTTTACGGATTGAGAGATCTGACACAAGATCTGAATGAGAGCCAGCAAATGTCAAGAGTCCAGTTCATTTGACTCAGTGTCATAAAACTGGCAGTAAAAAAAAAAATAGCTGTCAATGGAGCACTTTAATTCACTTTTATGGGCGCATATATATATATATATATATATATATATATATATATATATATATAGATATATATATATATGCTATATTCATTCAGCTACACTAATGACAGATCAATCCAAAAACCCTGTTTCTGTTTACTATCACATGGTTAGAAGAATAGCAGCACATTTTGACAATTCAGATGCTGGAACAGGAAAATAGCTTGGCTTCTGTTTTTTTTTTGCGTAAAAGACGACTTTAATGGCTCTAACAATTATAGTTTTAGTGAAGCAGCAAGGTGACAATAATTGTCACTCCTTCGTGTCAGGGCTCATGCAGAATAATGACTGCTGCAAGTGCAACGATGACTCAATGATTTTATCAAATTCTTAGTCTATTGCGACTGCAGAGCAGCAGGTTTTCCCCAGCGGGCCGAGCTGGCACAGCACAGGAAAAGCACAGAGGATCGATGGGGAATTGACAGTGTGTCTCTATCTAATTATAGGCTTATCCTCTGTCTTCAGTGCCTTATAGACTGTTAATGTCTCAACAGGAAGAGAGATCTCAGGCCCTTCTGTTTTGTTTCCTAACTTCCCAGCATTCAGTCTGCTTTTGTCTTTATTGGCTTTCTGCGTTTTGAGCCTTGATCATTGCATTTTTTTTTAGACATTTAGTAGTGCTAGTTTCTAATTTTAAGTTTACAACATTGGCAAAGAAACATGCCACAATAAGACAATAGTAAGTGATAAACAGTTCATGAAGGCACTGTGCTGTTGCTGTTATCAGACAATGTTAAAAGTGTGTCTTTTCTGAAGCAATGGCAAAGTTGTTTTTAAAGAAAATATACAAACAACGATCATCTTGCTTCTACAGAACACTGCCGCCTAAAAAAATTTGACACAAACGACGACTACATTAAGTGTTGGTGTGGCATGTAGGTTATGTCTCAGAGTTTTATATACTAATAAGATGTAATATTTATACCCATGGATCTCTTCGTTTGTTTTAAACGTGTGTCTGTAGAGGCGGAGACTGAACTGTGACCCTACATTTGAGCTGGAGGAAATGATCCTGGAGTCCAAACCACTTCACAAGAAGAAGAAAAGGCTTGCTAGAAAAAACAAGGACCAGGGATCTGATGGGTCTCCACAGGTAAGACATTCGACTCGAAACATCGAATGCAATAATACAGCAGAATGTTCGGATTTTACTTCTACTTGGAAGCTAACGATTTATATAAAAACCTTTAAAAAAATAGAATAATCGACCAGCCCTTTAAAAGGTGTCTCTCCCTCAGTGCTCATCATTATTCATTAAAGAAAGATGAGCGTCGGTTTCATTCGGCTCATTTACAGGAGCTACGTTTGTCCTTAGTTTGTCTTTTAAATGTGTCTGGAGTGCCATTGAGAATCTTGACGACACGTTTTTAGAGCTCTGTCCTCCCTCACCTTCATCAGAATAAATCGTCCGTTCGCCTGACGCGTGTATGGGGGAAGGCGAAGAATGCAATCACCTATGGCTATCGCTCCAGTCTTTTAGTACGTCGCTCCATCTACATAAATCAGCTGCTGTCCTCTGTGTGTTTATAGAAAACAGAGAGGAAATCACTGAAAGGTTAATTTGATCAACTGGCCAAGTGAGACGTGGGAGGAACACACACACACACACGTACACACATTACACACTCATAAACACTGCCAGAGTGAAAGCGGTTAAGCAGCAGTGATTTCATTTTTGGTCTAGTGCTGCAGTGGGACCTGATAAGTGCTGTCATGTTTTTGTTTGGAGGATAACTGCAGTTCGAAAAAAAACTCAAGGTAGCAAGAAATCAGGTTGACATGTTATTATGCAAGGGCTTCTTCTTGGGTTATATACAAAACTGGTATTATAAAATGAAGAGTATAGGGGCAGATTAGGTTGCGCATGTGCAAACTGTAGTGTGCGAAGGCAGGTTTCAACAGTGTGGTGAATTATTGTTGGAACGTGACCAGACCCAGCACACACAACTGCACTATAACTGGTAAGAGCACATGAGTGAAACCATGAGCTGTTTGAATCTGCTGCTGGTATACTGTCACAATAGAAAAAAATAGAAAAAAATCCAAAAAGATAGAAAATTGGACAGAATCCCTAGAATTCAGAGTGGCTATTGAGTCCTGTACCGTAAATACATTTATTCTGATAAACGCACCTTACTATTGGTTTTAAAGGTGTATCACTAAAATCTCTCTCGTGGCAGGAACACGTTTGAGCATTATTACTGTATCTCTTCCACACCGATATATCAGTGGAGCATGACTATCGACACAGGACAAGCAGTGACACACCCCGTCACATACAGCAGCAGATTTATTAAATACTATGTGATGTCCCATTGGAATTCTTTAATCAGAAGTATAATGTATTTGTGCAGAAAAGTAAAGTGTGGTCAAAACCAGTAACATAGTCAGATGTTCCATCAAGTCACAGATTTTATTATCAAAATATGATAATAGGGCTATGATTATCCGAATCTGCCCCTAAACTCTTCATTTTATAATACCAGTTTTGTATATAACCCAAGAAGAAGCCCTTGCATAATAACATGTCAACCTGATTTCTTGCTACCTTGAGTTTTTTTTCGAACTGCAGTTATCCTCCAAACAAAAACATGACAGCACTTATCAGGTCCCACTGCAGTACTAGACCAAAAATGAAATCACTGCTGCACACACAGACACACACACACATATATACAACCAATGTCATTACGAAGTTAATATGTTTGGACCCTCTCCCACTCTTTGGCACGTTAGAACAGTTTATGGGACTCTTTTCTAATAGAAGTGGAACAATTTGTGTGGTCTAGATTCTGGAGCACATACTTCGCCAGCTTGCAATAAGAAGGCAGCGCTTGCCTAAAGTGCGACATGTTTAATGAAAGCAGACAGCTGCTTATGGAGACCTGCCTATGTGTATATATCGGCGATATCTCACTGTGCAGTCAGGCAACCTTCGTCATCCTTTGGCCCATTCAGACAAAGAGAAAGTCTCCTATTCTAATGAAATAATGATAGTAGCCTTTCAGGGAAACATTTATGTTAATGGGCACAGATGACGTAACAGCGAATGGTCAGACTAACAGGAAACTAACACACGCACACACTAAACAGTCAATAAAATGGGTTTGTACTTTGGTTGCCTGCATTTCCTGATTAAATCACTTTATTCATTTTAGTATAATTTATTCAATGTTTGAATAATGCAGCTTGACTGAAACCAGGATTAGAAATATTCTGCTTGGAAAAGGTCTTTCACATGAAAATGGAGAAAGCAACTTTAAAATGATTTTAAACAATGAATGATTATCATATAGTAAAAGAAAGATTGATGTTGTGATGCATTCTTTGTTTTATGCAGGTCAGTGAGGTTTATAAATAGCAATAGTGGTTATGATTTGATGAACTGTCTTGAAGAGGTAAAAAACAGGATTACAGAACATTTTTTGAAGACCTGCCAATTTGGCAGCATAACATCAGCAAATGCTTTTAGACTACTTGCCCAAAACCTCAGCGTCACTTTTGAAGGTGGTTTTGATTAATACGTTTGTTCAGAATATCTTGGTAATGAATGCGTTTCCAAATTGAATTTGTCCTGGCCCACCTTGAGAAAGCCTTTCCAACTACCTTTAAATCTCCCCATCTTATTTTAAGAGGCTGTATTCTGTAATTCGCCTGTGTGTCTCCCGTTGTCTGTAGCCAAACTGATCCCATTCTGGCATCTTAACATTAGTCCGTGGCTTGCTACTGTATTGACCCTTCTGATTGTTACTCTGACCTTGTCCTTTTTCTTATCTCACTGTTTTGTAAAGAAACGTGTTACATATTGGTATGCATGTTATAATCAACAGTAAATGGCAACCAGCTAAATATCACCCATTCACTTTTTTTTGCCTCTACGAGGGACCATGAACTTGAATATATACATATACTGGAAAATGCAATACTGACATTTTTCATCTTTCTTTCGAAATGTACTTGTTTAAAATGCATATTATTAATTTCAAGCAGTCGTATTTTGCAGCATGCGTCGCTCTTTTTGTGAGGGAGAATATTCCGCTTTATAAATATCTCTATTAGCTCTATAAATATCTGTTTGTGTTTGTGCGAGGCTTTTCCATATCAATTTACGAGGGACCTGTGGGGCCACTTGTGATGGATGCACAATAAGAGAGCTTGATGCTTGATGTGTGTGCATGTGTGTGTGCGTGCGTGTGTGTATGTGTGCGTAAAAGAGAGAGGGAGATGGCCTGTGCAGCATTTCTAAAGCATAACAGATCAATATTGAATGAAGTAAGCTAGTTGCCCTAATGCTGTCCCGGCCAGCTTCTTACTCATTACCCTGAGGCTGCTCTGTATTCCTTTGGCATATTCCTCCTCTCCACTCCAACCTTATTTCTCCCCCCCTTGTCGTCACCCTCTTTAGACAATGCTGTTTATTATATGTCACTCTCGGCCCCCCCCCCCACACAGATCCATTTTCCTTCTTTCATCTCTCTGCCTCAATGTTCCCGCTATGCTCATAATGTAGCATAGAATTAGCTCAATTAAATCACTGATAATAGGCAGCAGAAAATTGGACTTGAGCAGTGAGAACAAAATGAATTGTCGGTCTCCCATCACACAAACATCTCTCTTCTAGCATATTCTTTACTGCACTTATGAAACAGAGTGGAAACCTGTCCAAAAGATGATGGAGCTTTTTTCCTGTCTTTATTCAAGAGCATGTTCTTTCAATTTGAGAGCATGATTCATTGATTTAAAGTTTAGGTTTCGCAATGCTTTCCCTCCGTCCTCGGACTCAAATAGCCCTTGCTTGCACTTTGATTTGCTCTGCTCGTGCTCAAACTGTATGCTTGCACTCAGATACGTATATTGTTGCTTGCACAGATTTCCTCCAGCTTCAGCCCTTCTCCTCACACTGTGGCAAAAATGTATATGTGCTTGCTGCTAGGCAAATAGACGCTGCGTGGTATTGCAACATCACTTAATTAGTATTAAAGTGAGGTAAATCAATGGAAGAGGGAGAGCTGCATGTGTATCTGAGGATACAGCTCCATATGTGACACTAATTAAAAGTGCAGTCAGAGCTTGTCCTCAGTTTAGTCCTGACTGCAGGAATACCATCGGAGGCAGTCAAAAAGTTGTAGCTCAAAAAGAAGAACTTGTTTTAGATTTTACACTAAACAGCATGCTCAACTGAAAATGATGCTGTATAACTTTTGACATTCGCCATATTTCTCTTCTAAAATCCATAGCACTGGTTTGATTTGTCATGTATGAATTTGGTGCCAATAGCCTGGTGCAATTTGAAATAAATACATTGTGGGAAATGCATACCATTTATATCATGCGTTCTATGATTTCATGATCTATAAGTGATCAAATGCATTAAGTGTATTATAATTTAGTGCACACTCATGATCTCTGCACACTTGTGCTTTGTCTCGTTAAATGGAAAGTTAAATCTAAGCAATTAGCATTCCGAACTGCCTTTTTAAAAGCAACAAATAAAGAGAGAGAGAGAGAGAGAGAGAGAGAGATGGTGCCTAGAATTAATGTTACCGTTCTCTCTGCAAGGCCTGGAGGTTAAACACAGGTTGCACTTAACCTCCTCCTGCAACTGTGATTGCTGTAAATAACAAAGTCTTTTCATGGATCTTTCAAAAAAGAGATCTGCTTTGTAAATAAACTGGGGAAAAGGTTATGCAAAGGTGGTGTTTTTGTTGTCAGATTCTATCATGCCTTTAGATCTAAGAATATCTCATTGTGAAATGAGAAACCCTCCATCACACTGTCGTCTCATCAGTCACATCCATCACTGATGTTTGACTAATTATGTACAGCATTCCTCCTCTGTCTTTTTCTGCCTGCTTCTTTTTCCTTTCAGTAGCCTGCACCAGCCACACACAAGCACACCCTGTGTTCCCATCTCTGTCTGGATGATTGGTGTTTATGTAGTTATGTAGTGAATTTGTCATTTTCCTCTGTGATACCGCTGTGAAAGGGTCCCTTACCCAGAAATCCACAAAAAAAAGACACTGACTGCCACTGCACGCATGCAAGATAATTGCATAATGCACACTCTACACTTTCTATTCTTTTCATTCACTTTATCAAGTGTACATACACAGCAGCTCCCTCTCCTCTCTCTCTGGTTCCCTGGCATAATTTAGTTGATGGCTTTTGGTCTGCCAGGGGCTGCTCCCCCATTGTGACAGCACCTGTACAGACCCTCTCTGCTGGGCTGTGTGACTGACTGCTCTGGGCAGAGAGTCAGCCACTTCTCTCCTGGAGGGGTTTTCCGTGAACCTGGATGTGACTGGAGGGCTGTTTTTGGGAAGCAGCTTTCTTGAGGATTAGGAGCGTGTCCTTGGATGCCCTAACCTCCATAAGGATATTCTCCAAAGTAGAGACATTATGGAGGACCAAAGTGGCCAGTTTGGAGTTTAATTTTGTGAATTGTATTTAATTTCGGTTAGGTAAGGTGTATATACAGAGAGGTAATATTGGTAGGTAAAACCCTCATCTGGAAGGAAATGAACGAACCATTCTGCATTTGTTCATTTTCTCTCTATTATGTTATTGTGTCTCAGCTAGTTTGTCTCCCTGTCACACACACACACACACACACACACACACACACACACACACAGTGCAGTGTCCTAATGGTGATGTATCTCTATAATCTCTCTTGTCACTGCCTCCTAGGGAGAGTGAGAAAGCACCTGTCTACTGCTATACAGTCGTGTGAGAACAGTCTGCCATGACAGAGCCGGATGTTCTCACATGATTAAGTGGGCCAAATATGTATGAGTGCGTGGAGCAGGTGGAGAGATCAGAGCACAAGTGTCCTCTAAAGCAGTGATTCTTAACCATGGGGCCGCGGCCCACGTTAGGGCCACGAACGCCACCTAGAGGGCCGCAAAATACTTTCAGTTTTGCACCTGTGGGCCGCGAGGGCCGCGGGACCGCATAGGTTATCAATTGAAGACACCAGAGATATTACTGTTCTCCATGAGACGCTCAGTTACAATATAGCTTCCCACCACCTGGTGGCGGTAATGCGTCAGTCAGTTGTTTAACAAGCTACAATAAGCAGAAGAAGACACTCAGCTAGCCCAGGCATGGGCAAACTACGGCCGTTGGGCTTTTTAATCCGGCCCGTCAAATATTGGTACAAAATTGTCCAAACTATAATAAAGACTAGAGCTGGGCAGTATACCGGTTTTAATTTCCCGTATGATATGAATTCTTCACACACCATTATACCGGTGCATAGCCAAAACAACTGCTGTCTGCTTTCAACAGGTAGCTAAATGTATTCTTTGCTGCTAATGCACAGCGGTCAGCGCTAGTTGTCTTATATGTATTGACAGGGAACCCGAGTCATGGTCATAACTTTATAACACAACAATTAACAACCCACAACTAATGCTCTTTAGCAGAGAAAAACACAACAGCACACAACAGTCTGTGACACAAACAATTGTAACACAAATAATTGTACATTTATAAAATGTCACCGCCGAACTGCATGCCGGGTACAGCTCGCGAGCGAGCCTGCTTGCTAGCACAACAGTCTGCTAACAGCTGGGAGAGGCTCCGTCGCTCCAGTAAAGTTACATTAAAGAACAGAACAGAGCAATGCAGGATGAACAAAGACAGACCAGAGCAGTGTTACATCAGTGTTACATCATTTAATGAATCATAAACATTATATGATTTAACAACTAGAGGGCAGCAGTGTTAAATCATTTAATGAATCATAAACATTAC